ATCTGCAATTACGATGAGTTTTCTTAACACTTAGAAGATGAAGAACGACAGAATCCAAACCTACATACCACCACTGTTGTGAATTCTAGTACTGGAACCTCTTTCACTTTCTGTAGAGTCTGATTTTTAATTTCCAAATACAAAATTTTAGTGTTGAAGAATATGCTTTCATTTTTATAAACTTACTTGTTTGAACTTACCAAGACTGCTTTCAAGTGGGCTATTTTTAATTCCCTTCAGTTTATTAAGTAGTTTCTTTAAGGAATCTTTTATGCAAAGTCTAGAACAATGGATTATACACATTGTAAGACTCTGCCTATGTGATGTCTAAAATACGCATAAGTATCACATAGCAAACACATCACTGACTGTTGGCGGGGAGTACAAGATAACTTTCTATGGTGACAGATGCGTCACAGCTTGACACTAAGTATGGTCTACACAGCTAGAATGGACACATACAAAATGTGTGCATTTCATCGTACATAACCAACATCTTAAAAATATAAGCCTCAAAGACAGACACTTTATAACGGGGTCTGGTAAAAGCACACAGTGCTAAAATAGTCGAAATGAAAAGCACCCATTACTTACAGACTTCAGTTGAATGCCCTGCCGTATCTGGTCTAAAAGCGCATCCCTTCCTGAGCAGGATGTGGGCCGACTGTTCTGCTCCACCTTTTTAAGCTGAGCGCCCTCTCTAATTTGATCCAAAAGAGCTGCTTTGTTTCCTGAAGGAGTGGGAACTTGATGGTCACCATCAGAAGGCAGGCTAGAGGGAGGGGGTGGCCCCGGTGGAGGCGGAGGGGGTGGAGGAGGTGGTGGTGCTGTGGACCCCGTCATAGACAGAGGCGGAGGTGGGGGTGGGCCGGAAGGTGCCGAAGAGGGCAGCGCTGGCGGCGGAGGAGGGTGCATCCTGTTCGGAGGCGGGGGAGGGACAGCAGCACCAGGCCTGGAGGGAGGCGGAGGCGGCGGTGCAGCTGTGGGTGCTCTTGAAGGTGGTGGTGGGGGGAGCCCCCCTTCCCCGGGCAGGCGGGGGAGGAGGGCCTGAGCTATGAGGAGGGGGAGGAGGAGGAGGAGGTCCTCCCCCTTGAGGGTGGAGGAGGTGGTGGTGCTGAAATAAGAACAGAGAAAAAATAAGAGCATAAACATATTAATAAAGCAATTTACTTTAGCACGCATAAACACAGTATAAACCAAAGAGCAAAACCAGCAAAATTTTGTAATAAATTTTATAAATATCTGAGTGATGGGGAATATCCTTCTGTATGCTCTAAATATTGTTTCTTATTGATTGGTGAATAAAGCTGTTTCGGCCAATGGACAGGCAGGATGTAGCCAGGCAGGAAGCTAAGCGGGGCTACAGACGAAGGCAGAGTCGAGTAAGAGGCCATGTAGCCATCAGGGAGGTAGGATGCCCAGGCAATCTCCAGCAAGCCAAGACCATGTAGAGATACACAGATTAATAGAAATGGGTTAACAATTAAGACAGACAGCTACTAAGAAGACTAGGCCATTGGCCAAACAGTTCAATACAACCCTCTGTGTGTTTATTTGGGACTAAAAGGCTGAATGAAGGACAGGGCAGAACAAAGACTTCCATCACCATCTGAGTATAGGTGACATCTTACAGTTTTATTTGGAAACAAATATTTAAAGATCACCTTCCTGATGTCAACAAGCAACAGAATCTAGTTATGAGTAGTCAGTGTCAGCTCTGAAGCTATAAGAAAAATACATGGTTGGCGAGACAGCTCAGCAATTATAAGCTATGCTTGCTTTTACAGAGGATACTGAGTCCCCAGGACCCATATCAGTCAGCCCACAAATGCTTGGAACTCCAGCTCCAGAGATTCCGACTCTGGACTCCGTAGGTACCCACATATGCACACAGGCATGCATGAGTACACAGACACATACACAAGAAAATATACATTTTTATGGTTTATGTAACACTGTAACTAAACACTTTGCTTGTAAGCATTATCCTACACTTTGATAGTAATAACAAGTACCTTCTCTTTAGAATTAAACACATTTGCTACATAAGGAAAACAAGTCCGAAAGAATATAAGAATATACTGAGGACTGTGAGTCAACCCTTTAAGGATTAAATCTTGTATTTCTGGAGACATCGTTTCACTAATGACATATACAAATCCATGTTACATTAAGCACTGTATCACTACCCATTTGTTTAAAGACTGATCACAGAAACTGATTTTTAGGGGTACACAGCAATCTTAGAACTCATAGAAGCTATATACTTAGCTACTGAAATTTACATGGTACTTAGTAACATTATTCAACCCACTGTTACACATATCGGCCTTATTATGCCTTATTACAATGGCACAAAAGGAAAAGAACTTATACTATTGGCATTTCTTTCTTTTTTTTTTTAAATATTTTTATTTATTTATTGTGTATACAGTCTTCTGCCTGCATGCCAGCAGAGGGCACCAGATCTCATTCAAGGTGGTTGTGAGCCACCATGTGGTTGCCGGGAATTGAACTCAGGATCTCTGGAAGAACAGTTAGTGCTCTTAACCACTGAGCCATCTCTCCACTCCCACTTTTGGCATTTCTATTTTCTTTTGTTTAAAAAAAAAGTATTTTGTTTCATGTATGTGTTCTGCCTACATGTATGCCATACACCACAAGTGCCCGTGGAATCCAGAAAATTGTTGGACCCCTGGAATTGGATTTCCAGCTGTAAGCTGCCATGTGGGTGCTGGGAATTGAACCTAAGTCCCCTGGATGAGAAGCTGGTGCTTGCTTACGGAGCCCTAGACCTTCTGCTGTCTTAAGTGACAACAAACTCCACTGCATTTCCTTAAAGAAATAATCTCTTACCAATCCTTCGCTTTTATCATCTGTATTCTAGCTAACACAAAGAGCACACTACATCACAGGGACAAATGTGGGAGAATTAGCACAGAAAGGTAAAGACAGATGACAGACACACTGTTTGGACAGTCCAATGCTCCAAGATGCCAGTCAAGTAGCCACCAGTGAGGAGGACTTTTAAGAGTTATCACAAACACCACAAGGAAAACGTCAGTTGTTATTTGTCAATTTTTAAAAAAAGTACCAGAGGAAAACATGAAAGATAAAGTTATAAAAGAAGATACTTTTATATTATAAAATAAGTACCCTTGGGAGCTGGTGAGATAGGTCAGCTGTTAAAGGCTAGGCTCACAACCAAAAATAAGTACCCTTGGTTAATCTATAGGAATATTGAATCGTACAGAAAAAACAAAACCAAAAAACCCTTGTGTTCATGGTACATAAAAAGGCTAAAGTATTTGAAAATTATAATTTCAAATCAATATCAACATTAAGAATACCAATAGATAATTGCATTTCTTATATATAATTATAACCATAGGAATTATATGCAAAAATACTAAAAACATATAGTATTACAGAATTCCTAAAACATTTAGGAACTGATAATCATGATCTCTCCTGAAAATTTAACAGACAAATGTTATCTAATTCAATTATATTAGATATAATTAAATTTATGGAAATACTGTTAAGTCCGTAAGTGGACATATGACACTGTGCTCACTAATAATACTCCCTCCTCCTTTACCCTACTCAATGTAAACATATCTTACACAAGTTAGAGATAAACAAGGCATAAAGCCAAGCATAATCAATCAGTATCAGTGAAAACAAGATGAAAGCTGTGGGTAAGAGGTATTTCCTAGTAAATACAGAGAACTTCAATAAATTAATCAAAATTATAGGCAATATTTAAGCTCCGACTCACAGAAATATATTTCTTTTTATTACAAATGAATCTTAATTCTCAAAAGTAAGTTTTTAAAGGCAGAACATACAAACTCTAGCTACTTCAAAAATCAACACAGCAAATCATGCAAAACTCAGAGCAGTGGTTCAAACTCTGTTCCACATACATACCACTCCACTGTGGTGGGCCTAAAGGACAGATTGTTGTGAGTTAATGGACTTCAATAGCTACACACACAGATATGGAAATCACAAATTTGTCTTTATAAATCTTTTTCCACAATTTTATAAAATGACAAAAGAATTAATAAGTAGGTTAAGACAAATTTCATTGACTTCTCCATTTCTGTGTTTTCCATACTTTTGAATATTAATTTATGTATGTGATCTTTCTAGAAAAAAATCAGTTAGTTAGAAAAAACTGAACAGAAAATTTATGTTTTTGATCTTTAAAAAAAAAGAAACTATCTGGGTTGGAGAGATGGCTCATTGGCTAAGAGTATGAACTGCTTCAGAGGACCTCAGCTCAGTTCCTAATCCATGCCAAACAGCTCACAGCTGACTGATGAAGCTTATACACACCACCACCCCATCTCCACCATATTTCAGTTTCTAATTGCAAATCAAATACAAATGAAATCTTAAAAAGAAAAATCTTACATAAAACCATCATTTGATGCATAATAGGTTCCACACTGAAAAAGTTAGGTCCTTGAAATATAAAAATCTTAATATCTTGATATTTTGGTGCCAATATGATTTTGAAATCCTGTGACTTTTTGTTTTAGGATAACAATTAAGGAAAGGCCTTGTCTGTCTTGAAAATAGATGTAATAAAGTTTAAGAAAACTCAGTCTAGTTAGTATGATCACTTTTCTTTTGACATGAAGGACACAGGAGAGCAATGCAGCCAATACTGCTGAGCTGAGCAGCCCTGAGCACCAGCGGGTGTGGTAGAGAGCAGTCTTCATGATCATACACACTTAAAATGACACGGTATTCATAGAATGCTTTAAAATCCACCACATTTGAAGTGTAGTGTCTGCTAGGAAGAGCAGTCTTCATGATCATACACACTTAAAATGACACGGTATTCATAGAATGCTTTAAAATCCACCACATTTGAAGTGTAGTGTCTGCTAGGAAGATAAACTAGCACAATGCTAGTTTCTATTGAACTAGCTGTGTTATACAGCAGCAATATGAGCTATATAAGCTGTTTGCTTCCATAGTTGGCTCTGAAGACTCCGAGACCTCACTGACTAGAACACTGGGAAGAACACATTCAATCAAAGACCAACTGAGTTTCAGCAGTGAAAACGCAGGCAAAGGTAAGTTAAATACCCACTTTCAAATGACAATCAGTTCAAGACCATGTAACTGGAGCTTCAGCTCAGCTACACTGGTGTGAGCACAAAGAACAGGAGAAGCTTGGTTCCAATTGAGACGGTGCTGAAAAGGTGACCATGAGCACAAAAGCATCTACGCACCTGCCTGTCATAAGTGCTGGGAAGCAAGCAAAACACAAAGTTCCAACCATCGCAAGGTTGGAAACTATGATCACAGGAACCAAGAGAAAGTATTATATTCTGGACTAAACAGAGAAAAAAAAAGATTTATATTTTAAAATAGAAAGTTTTTATATAAGTTTATATTCTGAAAATGTTTTATTACAGATTACAAGGTGACTTTTTATACCAACAATCATGTCAAGTTTTCGTCCATTTGTTTTAAGGACAGGGTCTAACTATGTAGCCCTTGAACTCCATAGACCAGGCTGGTCTCAAATTCACAGAAATCTGACTGCTCTGCCTACAGAGTGTTGGGATTAAAGGTCATCTTATCACATCTAGCTCAAAGCTTTAGTTACACCAAATAAATGAATAATATAGTGGTGCTGGACCAAATTTGTCATCCATAAATTTAAACATTCTACTCACAGAAGGATGTGTAGTTGTCCACCATAAGGTTAATCTTACAAAACTCTAAAGGAAAAAGACAGCCAGGTGCCAAAGTAGACTAAAAGTTACCTTGCCTTCGGAGTTCATTTTTAACAGCTTCTACACCTCCTGTCTTTTCGATAAAGTCATAAATAACTTTTGATGTTTCTCTGTCTTTAAGTTGGGCCTCAGAAATCCCACACATATCAAAAAGATTCTTCAATTCTGGATCCAAATTATTGAGCTACAACAGATAAAACAACTTCTAAGCAGGCAATTCTGCTCCAAAACACAAAGTTAGTAAAACTTACAATTTACCTGTGTCTTTCTGAAGCTAAATTCATAGACTTTTAAAATGGTTATGTAACTTAAACGCTAACACAACATTTTCTTTTATGAAAAGAACAAGAGAGGTTTTCTGTTTTATCTTATCTTTTCCATGCCTTAAAAGAGGGCATTCTATTCCTATTTTTATTAATCTACTCAAGACTAGATCTTGTGCTCATCTATTCCAACCTGCCCTAAATAAGATTTGGCTTTAATCTTGAATTACCGATTAGTTTGAAGATCTGAGGGCAAGGACCTCTTTGTGCTGTCACAGTGCTAATCAAGTGTGTGACAACAGGGAAAAGAATAACCCCAGTTTAGAAACAAACTGGATAATTCTATAACTGGATACTAACAATTTTGTTATACTAGTTTTCAGTAATTTGACAGACTTTCCTGAAATTATTACTTTAAAAAATAACATTTTTCACTATGCATTCAAAACAAAATTATTTAGCACAAGGAATACAAAATTTTGTTTTAAGGGACTTAGCAACTATGACAGAATAATGCTATGGATTCAAACCTCAGCAGCACACACAAACATAGCATTTTCAAATTCTAATACATACTAAGTTTTAAAACTGTAAATAAAAATCCAAGAATAAGCCATAGCGTTTCTATGTAGTTTTATATAGCTCAAAAAGATACTAACATCAAACCCCGTATTTGGATCCCAGCCAACATGTCCAATGTGCCTAAGGTAGAAAATAGAAAAAGATTAGGAAAGTAAAAGCATACAAGGGCTTGCAAAACAATGCATAAAAAAACACGAAATCTGTACTGTCTTGAGAAGCAAACAACATCAATACTACAGCAACATTTCTAAGTTTCACAAAGAGATGAATGTGTGTATTCTTCCCTGGAAGCCTGCCTGCTCCTTTGGGGCTCTCTCTCACCTTTCCCTAATAAATCAACTCATTCCCTTTGTTCAAATCAAAACCAGCCAGCCAACCAACCAAACAAACAAACACCCCAGTGAATATACCCATTCTTCCTGTTATAGTTTAAATATGGAGTGTCCCCCTCCCCACAAGGGCTCATGTATTTGAACACTTTGAAAGGCTGTAGAACCTTTGTGAGGGAGGCATGCTAGAGAAGCAAGTCACTGGTGACAGACTGGCCCACTTCCTCTGCATCCCTTACACCCCTGTAGCCACGCCTTCTCCACCATGACGGCGTACCCCCCCTGCAGAAGCAAGCACTTTCTCCTCTAACTTGCTTTTTGTTGGGATATTCTACCACAGCAACAGACAAGCGAATATTACACAGAGCTCCCCCAAACCAAAATGTTCCAACAGGTTAAAGAACAGGAGCAGCACAGAACACAGAAAAAGAATCAAGATAAAGCTGGGTGTAGTAGCAGTGCACACCTGTAATCCCAGGCACTGCTACGGAAGCTGAGGCTGAGGATCCTAAAGCCAAGGCAGCCTAGGCTATAACAGAGCAAGAGCTGGTGTTTTTAAGTGACGAGAGGACAAAGGAAGAGTCTTACTGGAAATTGCTTGGTGTTCCAATATCTGCCTTGGTCAATCTCTTCTTTTTAGCCTTCCCTTTCTTCTTCTCTTTGGTGTGGGAAATATTGTTGACTTGTGAGCCATAAAACCTATTTGTTGTGATTTCTGGATTTTTTATGTCAACTGTAGCCATGGGTAGATTGGGACCTACAAAGAAAGCCAAACTGGTATGAAAGGAATACAATTTTTTTTCATCTTTTTTTCCCCTCAATATATGTTCTCATTTAAATTAGAAACATGAGTGTTTCACATGTCAATCCCAGCTCCTTCTCCCACCCCTCCTCCCTTGTCCACCAGCCCTCCAGCCCCCCCCACCCAGTCCCCACATCCTTCCCCAGGGAGGGCGAGGCCCTCCTTGGGGGGAGATCTCCAGAGTCTGTCATTTTATCCAGGGCAGGACCTAGGCCCTTCCCCATGTGTCCAGGCTGAGAGAGAGCATCCCTATATTTGGAATGGTCTCCCAAAGATCATCTGTACGCCATGGTAAGCACTGATCTACTACCCAAGGCCCCCGAGATTTCTGAGGCCTCCCCACTGACACTACATTCATGGAGTCTGGATCAGTCCCCTGATGGCCTCTCAGCCATCTGTCTGGGATTCAAGGGCTGGAAGGAATACAATTTAAGAAAATAATTTTATACAATCATAATTTTTAATTTTCTGTATTTTATTTTTTAACTTATGCTTGCTTATTTATATCTCGACATTAAATATCATGAAGAACATTGATGTCTATAAAATTTAATTAACCTGATTCCCTAAGGCTTTTTCTTTTTTTTTTACTGTAATTCTGATATATATAACACAAAACAACACTTACAAAGAAAGTAATGACATCATTAATCCTGTCTTGTTTCAACTTTATTTATCAGTAAGAAAAAGATTATTTAAAATATCCTGCTACCACCTTCCCTGCAAACTGCCAGATTTAAGTCTGCTAATATTTTCCCATTAGTACATATGTAAATTGGCTATGAGAAATACAAAGCTCAAATACATACAGTGAAAGAAATTCTAACACTCAGACCTCCTGCAAAGATCTAATGGTAAAAGTACCTTGGGACCTCCAGATACCGGTCAGGAATCTCTTTAGGAGCAACACTAAATGACATATCCCATAACTTTCACACAATCAAAGATATGGAGGTCTCAGTGCAACACCAATTGAATTTAAAAATTATTATGCATTCCTGAACTTAAAGTCAATACGTGTTCTTTCAACACCCCATTTTTAAAACACATTCTTCAACAAAATCTCCTCTCAGACCAAGTTCCTTTGCCATCATTTCATTAACAATTTTCAAAAAGTATCAAAATATCACCACTATTTATACATAAGAATCAAAGCTTGAGATATGCATGTTGGTTTGAATGAAAATGGGCCCCAGACTTATGTTTGAATACTTAAGTCTCCAGTTGGTGGAACTATTTGGGAGTAGGCGTGGTCTTGTTGGAGGAGGTGTGTCACTGGAGGAAGGCTGGGCTTTCAAAAGCCCATGCCATTCTCAGTTAGTTCTCTCTTTGCCTCTTGCTTTCGGATCAAGACATAAGCTCTCAGCTACTGCTGCAGTGCCAATGCTGGCTTACTCGCTGCCATGTTCCCCACCATGATCGTGCTGGACCCTCCCTCTGCAGTTATGAGGCCCAAATCAAAAACCTTTTATAAGTTGCCTGGGTCATGGAGTTTTATCACAGCAACAGAAATGTAGTAACTAAAACATCTTAGCTGCCTAGTGGGGACATAAACTTTCACCATTCCCTGAAAAGGTGGACTCAGACTCACTGTGCCCCAACTTTGTGCCAACAATTACACTTAATATTGCTTTCTTCATGTAGGAAGGTCTGGAATCATGGTTATAGGCTGTGTGAAAACACTAAGCACTGAATCTCCAACGAGCTCTTCTAATGAGCCTTTCCTTTAGACCACACTGCACATACTTCCGTAATTCACTACTGGTTCCAGAAGGAGGTCTATAGAGCTCATCCCTTGTAGCCTTCTGTGCTTACTTGGCTTCTGTCTCTTTACTACGCTGGATGTTTTCAATAAAAACAACTACATATTCAGTCTCATGAGTTCTCCTAGTGAGTCCCTAACCACAGAAGTTGTCTTGGGAATCCTCAACAGAATTATAAACATCAAATAGAAATCCTAAGCCAGGCAGTGGTCCCATCACTTGGGAAGCAGAAACCGGTGGATCTCGGTGAGTTCGAGGCCAGCCTGGTGTACTGAGTGAGTTCCAGACCAGTCTCTAAAGCTACAAAGAAATCCTGCCTCAAAAACCAATAAACTTTAATAAATTATAGCAGTGGTTCTCAATCTCCCTAATGCTGTGACCCTTTAATACAGTTCCTCATGTTGTAGTGACCACGAACCATAAAATTATTTTCGTTGCTACTTCTTAACTGCAATTTTGCTAGTTATGAATATAAGTATCTTTGGAGACAGAGGTTTCTCAAAGGCGTCTTGACCCACAGACTGAGAACTGCTGAAATATAGGCTGATACTCAACAAGTGATCACTTAATGTCAATTTGATTGTAATTCTTC